AGGTAAGGTTAGGTTAGGTCAAGGGGAACATTTTACACAGGTCATCTGGTATATTTACCTACTGGTCATTAAGTTATTTAAGTTTAGGCCAATAGACCCGCACCCTAAACAACTTTTAAAACGTTCACAACGTCAAACAGTTATCACAACGGATTTAATTATTCAACAAAACCTCAAATATTGTGCAAAATTTACATAAAAATTATAAAATTATGTTTTCATATATAATATTTATCTCTATTATAGCTTTTCGTATTCATAAGGGAATTGTCAGGAAAATGATGTGTTTTGTTGTCAATATTTAATTTTGTCACATAAATAGTATTCATTTAAACGTGAGATATGTATGCGATTGGAGTGAATGTCGCAAACAGTTTACATTAAAAGACAATTTAAATCAACATAAAAATGCTGTTCATATGAATGAATAGAAATACAAATGTAATGAAGAAAATTATGGGAACATTTTTGCGACAAAATATGGACTAAATCGACACAAAAGTAGTGTTCATTTGAATGAAAAGAAACTCAAATGTTATGAAGAAAAATGTGGCAAAAGTTTTAAAAACAAGTTCAGCCCTTATTCAACACAAAGTCATACAATGAGGTGAAACCCACCATTTGTTTGCTATTTCAATGATTGTAATAAATATTTTAGCGATTCATCAAGATTAAATGAACACATGGACTGGCGTATGAAAATAAAGCACAGTACATTTCAGTATAATAATTTGGTGCATTTATGGCATTTTGTAACTAAATTATAGTAAATTATAATACTTTTAGTAAACTCCTAGTTACATATACTTGTTTAATAATAAATATTTTAATTAAATTATAAATTTATTCATTAAACATTTTGATAAGTGTGCAATACACTTTGCTTATACATTTATGACACACGTAGGACTTCCCTTAAAAGTGGATATGTCATCAAATTAGGATAACTGTCTACAAACCACTTGAACATATTTATAGCCAGACCTTTTAAATGACCTAAACTTGATAAAAGTCTTGTGTAAATAACTTGCGATTTACTTTCGGATCGATATTTCATTAATAAATAGCGTTTAAGTAAATACTTGTATACTCGCTGTTGAAGTCTAGGTTAAAAAATAAATCATCAGCATAATTTAACTAAATAATGTATAAATGAAAAATATATTAAATTTATTACATTATGCAATCTCTATGTAAAAGGTGAAGCCGTGTTGGGTTAAACACTATGATCGCTGTTAACTGTAAAAAAATATTAATTTTCAAAAATATTTTCATAATAAATAACATATATTTAAATTACCAAGTCCAAAATCACGGAATCGTGTTCCCATTCGAGCATTATTTTATGCAAAAATATCCTGCTTAAATAATATATATTTTTGGGAAGGTATTGCATAATTTCCAACCGCAATATAGCGGTCCTATTATTTAGCTAGTTACAAAATTAATAATTAATCATTAATAATGTTACTACACTACAGATTTATTTAGTAATACTTACCAGGGGCACTCTCCAATACTGTTGTTTGATATCGTAATTAATAATGGACCGGATGAAAAACAGTTCAAACAGGCCGTACTTAATTAGGGATATCCTATCGTTTTCGCACAAACCCTTAAACTCAGTCAACATTTTAGACATTTTTATCGCACATTTCAGTTGTCTGTCAAATC